ATCTGTATGCCTCGTGGAATGAGGTGTACAGATAGATCGGAATGGCTACGTAGTTCGAACTATCTAGCCCGTGCCGCGTGTAGCCGCGCGGCACGGGGTTCGCACTAGCCGGCTTTTAAAAATGGCGGAGCCGGCTTTATGCTAATGAAGCCCGGGAAATTCAAATCCCGGGCTTCATTAGCAAGTTCGGTATGCATACATTACCCCACTAGTTCGAACTAGCGGGGTAGTGTAGACATACCCTAACATCATACTTGATATAACAAGAGGATAAATTGGGTCTTGCAAATGCACATGAATCAATGATGGAAGTCTCAGTAGATGGGGGAAGCAGAAACCCTATGCTCAGACACTTGTACCTTGATACAAAACCAAAGATGATCTATTAAACAGTTTGCTGGTGCAATCAATTTTTTTGCACACACTGCATTTATTTAAAAAAATATCCAGCTGAGCACTGAACAACACAATTAATACTTCAACTACATTTTTCAAAAAGGGATTGTAACACTGGTGCAAACTTAGAAAACCATTGGAGAGGCAGGTGTTATTCAATTAGCTAGTACTTTTTTTTGGTTCCCTTGCTATTATTGAAGTTCTGTCTGAAGAATTTCTCCTCTCATGGCTCAGTTTTTCTCCTCCTGTTGGATTGGGGTTTGAATGATGAAGACACTCTACTTTATCTTCCAATTATATTATTGCCCCCTGATAAAAAAAAAAAGATGGGAGGGTATTTTAAGGCCCAATCCTACATGGGCCATCTGATATAGAAGGTAACACTCTATATAGCTTGAAAGCTGGGAATGCCAACTTGAAGTAATGTTTAGCAGTTTATCTAGTATGGGAGTTTTATGAAATACTGGCTCTTAAGACCTCATCTTTCCTTTTACTTTGACCTTCGCTCTAATTCAATTCTACACTGCACTTAAAAGTCAATAACTGGTAGAGCTAGAATCAATGCTGTATATCACCTTAAAGCTTGTAATCCCAGATTTCAAATGGCATAGAGCATTAACTTCTAACTGCAGAAGTTTAATTGCTCATGCTAGATTTGAAGTTAGGAGGAAGAAAATAATAATGATCATACTTTAAAAATCATGACAATCAGTTTATTATTTTCTGTATTTTT